ATTGTCAATATCCATTATGAGTATCCATTATGAGTTGTGCCCAACCAGACTTCAGTAACATGAGATAAAATAATATATCTTTCCACAAGTAATCTAGACACAGAAGGTCTGGTTAGGTTGAAAGTCAGTAGATCTAGCTTCATATGGTCCCCAAGTATGACCTAATAAAGTAAAGACCCTGATGATGAAAAAAGTGCAACTTGAGACCTGGTAGACTGAACCATATCGGTACAGTAGGAGGTTCATGATTAGAGTCAAAATCAGGAGACCACTTGAGTAGTTTCATTGATTTACCAGCAATGCTAAGATATTTTTTGGAGAAAATCCGAGTGTAGTCTTCAGTCACGGTTAATTGGATCAATACATGTCTCTCATCCATAAGCATCACTTTCCACTTTTCTACCAATTTGAGATCATCAGAACTTTTCCTGATAACTTCCATAGGTGGGTGTCTCCACTGAAATTTTTCAATAAGAGCAAACTTGAATTTATCAGTCAGGGTTGAAATTTCTAACTCCGAGAAAAAGAGTGTTGTTTTCCCACTTTTTCTGCTTGCATTCTTAATAAATGGGCAATCACTTGTACCATCACGATATTCCTTATAACTTGAGGGGAAGACAACCGTCGTTTCCATCTAAGGATTACCCATCAAGTGGGCAAAGGAGGTTTTGTCAGGTTCAACTGAAAAAGAAAAAAGCTCCATCACAGCTTAGAAGCCCTGCCAAGTCGGTCAGAGGGCAATTCAGGAACCGAAGAGACCAAAACTCGGTACAGTCGAGCTGTCGAGCTGAGTCGAGAAGGAAGACGAAAGGAGGAAACGAGGCGACCCCTTCCCGTCTTCCGTGAGATGTAATCGAACAGAACAACGAGATGCAAACTCTGTCGAAGAGGCGACGAGCCGCGAGCATCGGCTTCGAACTGAGACGACGAGACGCATGAGGAGAGACGACGACGACGGAGAGGAGAGACGACGATGGAGAAATGATCTTGCGGCAAGGTAAGGGTTGCTAGGGTTCGACATGGGTCGAAACCCTAGCAGAGTCGAACGTGGGAGACGACATCGACATATGAGTTAAAGATATAAGTGGTTTACCATCAATTACATAGTTTTATCGTTCACTCACATATTATTTTAAACGCAAAATAAAGTCATTCATTAGTTTTTCAAGTTAACTTCAACTATTTTAAAATATATTATCTAATAAATAATATTAAAATCAAAAATACAATTGAAATCGAGAACTTCATATAATTTCAGATTGAGGGAGGTCTTATTGCATAATTCTTGATTAATTAAACATTTTTAATTTGAAAAAAATAATGATTGTTGTGAAGTAATTATTAATGCAAATTAAAAATTAAATTTTTCAACAATAAAATAAAAAAAGAATTATATACAAAGAACATAAATTTTGATTAATTACATAAAATACGAAAATACCCTTCAATTCATACAGACCACCATTAATTTAACGGAAAATATGACATAACTAATTTGAAGCAACTTTTAATAATCTGGGACTAAATTGAAGCATTATGAAACTTTGGGATTAACTTCGACACTGCTTAATGGTCGGGGGACTATGTTAGGCTTTTACTCATTGAAACTAAGAATGAAAACTCAATCTTTGAAGGAATTCAAATATGCTGAATTGAAACTTGCAAAAATATGCCGAGTTAATTTTTTGAAGTTTTGTTTATTATAAATAAGAGGTCCTTAGATATGTAAAATATGGTTCAAAGTAATAACTTAATTCAATTTCTTTCAATTCTTGAATCTTGCTAGATGTGAAATCTTTGAGTGTTATGCAAATCTCAAGATCTTCTGAGAGTGCTCCTTATAGCTGCTCGACGAATGGATCTTCCAATTGGTATTTTTGCCTTATTCATTTCATTAAATTGTCAAGTGATTAGTTTGTGTGCATAACTAAGGTTTCCTCGAATTTGAAAAACACTAGTTCTCCTTTTGTGATGTAAATATCAACAATTGAAGAAAAATTATGTTCAGTTTTTAGGTTTATTCTGGAAATTTAGATTTTGACAACCTTTAAATTATCATCTAGGATAAATAGGGTGTATTTTTTTTATTTTCAATTGATGTTGACAAAATTTATGTTAAATATGCGAGTTGTAGATTTTGCATACAGTAGGATTATATTAGTGAAACTTAAATTCTAACATTTTATTCATCAAATTCAAAAACAGTTCATTTTAATAAATAAAGTGTGATTCCATCAACTGTTTAAGCAAAGTGAACAAGATTGTGCATTTGTTCTTTTTTCACTCTCTTTCCAACTGCTATATTTTTTTAGCCATTCTAAATCGAGGCTGCTCGCTTTTGAAAAATTTCATGTCAAAGTTCTTGAAGCTAGAATTGTATTAGGGGCTCCAAACCAAGGGATAGTTGGCTAACGTATTACCAATGCCTACTAACACCACAAGACAAAGCTTCATAACAAGTATTTTACAGATGCCAAGAGGAGACCTTCAGTCGCCGACCATCCCAGTTAAGGCTGAGAGTTATAAGAAGCCTTGCTTCTTCCTACAAAACTCTTAACCATATCTGAAAAAAAGGTCGCTGAAGCTTTTATAAATGTTAAAACTGGTGCTCATTCAAAGACTTTAAGAATATCAACATCTATTAAAATTGCAGAGATTTTATGCGGGAAATCATTTAATAGTATTGGTAAAAATCAAGCATTATCTGAAATATAAAAACTGAGTTCCAGAACTGGCATGCGGTAGCATACCTGATAAGAATTTTGTAACTGTCTCCTCTGATAGTATGGAACCTGAAAAAGAAGCCACACAAAGATAATATCAACCCTGAAACATTAGGTTTGCATGGATGATGTATGTAATATTGTAATCCGAATAAAATATTTTTCATCTAAGTACACAAAGAGCAATTCATATGATTCAGTGAAATAAAACTAATAAAATTAAAAATGACAAGGCTTGAACATCTATAAAGCAATTAAAAGGAAGAATATAAGAAAAAATTGTCACATTTATCAGCAAATGATTTTACATGGATGCATAAAGCAGAACGTTAGCATACTCCATGTTTAACATAGAGCTCCACCTAACCACAGCCACAAAGAGACACAAAAATAGGGCTTATCCATTTCCAGAAATGAAGGGTGAAGAAACCCATAGAGTTTACATACATTATTAAAAAAGAGCAAGGCAACCTCATCTTTCCGATCAACTTCACTTAGCATCAAACCTATCACCAATGTTCTTAAAAACACGCTTCACAGGTAAAACGAAGTGCATGATGCCTGCTTTGCTTCACTAAAATGGGCTTCAAAGTGCAAAACTTAATTTGCAGGATTTTTTTGTAATTTTTAGTTTTTAATTATTGCAACTACTATTAGAAATTGTTTGAAATTTTAATTTGTAAATTCACTCACAATGTTTGCCTTCAAGTTAGGCATTGCGCAACATTTTTTTCTATTTTTTATCAACTTTTAAGTCATACCTTATATTTTATAAATTTTAAAAAATATATTTATATATTTAGGATTTGGGTTAATAAAAGTGCCGCTTCACACAGTGGTTTGTGCTTTAAAGAAAAAATAACTTCTTGCACATTGCATTGTGCTTTGCACTTCGATAACATTTGTTGTCACCATCCTCAAAACCATCTGCCACAACAAATAGATAGCAAGAACCTTCCTGTTCTCAGGGTAAAACTTCCAAGAAAATCAACAGAAATTTTCTCTCAGTAACAATTAGGCACTAGTGGCAGTGGAAAGTCAAAGTTTATGGTTGACTAGCATGGAGATGTTGCCAATTATAAATCTGACAAAAAGTTGCTCATTCGACCAGAGCCAATTGACGTGGGAACGAGGTGGACTCCAGTCCTAGGAGTATCCTTTTGTAAAATTTCTTGCCATTTTTACTGTCACGGATCCTGCGGAACCTTATTTCATAATTTTTTTTTAAAATTTCTAATTAAGGTTTAATTTATGTCTTAGTATAAGCAGATTATTTAGACCTAGTTTGGACACTTTGTTTTGGTTAATGCTATTTGATGACTTTTCTCCCTATTTTCTTCTATTAGGAGAGCTGCAACTTATTATTTTTTTTAAGTGTTGAATCTATATATTGAAGAAAATAGGTGATGGAACCTCTTCATCGTTCGTACTTAGACGTTTTGTCGTTCACTTTGGTTCAAGAGGGAGCAATGGCAGACAAAGCAAGGTACAAGATTGAAAAGTTTAATGGTTAGTACTTTATTTTCTGAAAAAAGCAAATGAAAAAAATATCATATCAAAATAAAATGTATTTGTCACTGGATGGAATCACTAAGAAGCCAAAATCGATGACTTCGGAAGGATGGGAATTTCTTGATCGAACAACACTGCATTTGATCTGACTTTCATTTTTCTCATTTGTTGAATTTAATATTGTGAATCAAAAGATTATTGTTAATCTCATGGTTGCACTAAAAAGAATGTCTGAGAGGTTTTGACTTCAAACAGTCTTTCTGATAAACAGGTTATCCAATATGAAAATGGTGGATGGTAGTTCAGTGGTTGAACACTCGAATAACTTCAATAATATGACAAACAAGTTGTGTTCTATTAGCATCAAGCTTGATGACGAGGATAGTGCATTGTTATTCTTATCTTCATTGTCAGATAGCTTGGATGAACTAGTTACTGTGGTAACCCTTCAGGTAACATGAAGTTAAACTTTAATGTTATTATAGAATTACTACTTAATGAAGAAGTTCACAAGAAGTCAAACGGTGAAACTTCAAATACTGCTCTGCATGTTGAAAATAGAGAAAAAAATCTGGATAAAAACACAAGCAATGACAAAGATGAATATTGGAATTGCAGGAAGACATAAATTTAAAAAAGACTGCAAAGCTATGAATAAGATTGGTGGTGGAGGTCCACATAAAAAGTTTTCTACAAGAGTCTCCACATATGAAATATAAGGCGACTCCGTTATTTAGCCCTGGATGGCACTGAATTGTAAATAATAGATTCTGGTGCCTATTTCCATACTGGCCTCAACAAAGAGATATTTGAAAACTACACTCAAAGTGATCTAGAAAAGTCGTATTAAGAGTTAACAAAGTCTATAGTATTACTAAAAAATGGTGATGTTGATATCAGATTGTTAAATAGATTAGCCTAGAAACTAAATGAAGTTAGACATATTTCATACTCGAAGACAATTTATTTTTTTGAGTCAGCTTGTAAGGTCAGGGTATATTACTATTTTCACAAGCCATTCATGACTAAAGGTGTCATGGTGATGGCTCGAGACAATATTGAATGTGTTGTGGAAACTGACCAAAGGAAAATATGTTGAGATTTTCATACCTATTTTACACTGATTTTGATGATATTGTAATTTAAAGAAATGAATTTTTGATGTTTTGTTGCAGGTATGTTGAATTATGGTCATTGGAGCAAAAATATGCAAAAAGGAGTGAATTTGGAGCGAAATTGACTAAAATATGAAGATTTGAATTAGGGCGCCGACGGCGGGTTTTTTCTGAGAGTTCAGAATCAAATATTCCAAAAGGCCGCCGACGGCGCCCTCGAAGCCGCCGACGGCGAGATAGGCGGTTATCTCAACAGGTGCATTAAATGTGGACGATTTTTTAGGGGATGCTTAGGCAACTCTTGGGAAAACTCTTCTACAACTTTAAGAGAAACTTTTGGCCAAAAATTAGAGAGGGTGTAGAGTGTAGAGTGTTTAATTTAGGGTGTAGAGTGTAGAGAGTTTAATTTATGGTGCAAAGTGTAGAGAGTTTAATTGAGGGTGTAGAGCGTAGAGAGTTTAATTTAGGGTGTAGGGTGTAAGGTGTAGAGTGCAGAGAGTTTAATTTAGGGTTAGATTGTGAGAAATTCTTCGAGAGATTGTAAGAGTGGAGGGAAAATGAGAGATTTCTTCCTCCTTGCCGCTTCGAAGAAGAATTCTATGTACTGTAAAGAAAGGAAGAGATTCAGAGGAACTTCGAGGAGTTTGCTTGGGGAGGAATTAGAGATAAGTGGTCTTTACTTATTGTAATTTATATGACTTTGCTTTTATATATAAATTCCGAATTTTATCGTATCTTTCTCATGAGTTCTGAGTAGTTTTTTCTGTCTTTCTCCTTGTCATGAGATTTTGTGAAATGGTGATTTGAATTAGTTGAGTCATGAGAATGTTAAAGAAGTTGTGATGACCTTTTCACTTCGATCATAATTTATTTTCAGTTTGGCCAATTGATTTGTTAAAATATGTTGAGTTTTACAACTAAAATGAAGATTACACCCAAGATTCAGGGAGGTCAAAGTCCTTGAAAGTTGGGTGCAAATAAATAGAAAAATAAAATTATCGGGCATAGAATTGAAGATTTTAGAGTGACAGACTAAAATCCTCAATTCGGTCCTATCGTTTGGGTGTTGAAGTGTAGATGTTAGCCCTCAAAAGAGGGGAATGTGGGAGCTCCGAAGTGAGAGCTGATATCCTCCCAGCCTAGCCGCAGATTCAGTAAACAAGCATAGGATTAGTCAATGTTCTTTATGCTTGGACAAGGGTAAAGAATGGATATGCTCCTATTTGGCACAATCTAATTTGAACTAATTCACTTTATTCATTCACTTTAATTTCTTGACAAAGAGAATAATATTTTCTTATATATTGAACTTCACATTAAAAACTTTATTAGTAGAATTAGTTATTCAAAAGTTATTAAAATTACATATTTATTTCAATTATCTATTAGTAACAAATAAGCAATTTAAACTATATTGTTATGATTAAGTATTGATTTTCTAAAATCTTAGTTTGTAGCCTCTAATATTACTCCCTGTGGGATCGATATCCAGGACTCCATTAGAGCGTATTACTTGAGCGATAAGTATACTTGCATTGATCAGTGTGACTTTACAATTATTGAATATTTTATACACATCTTTATCGAATCTATACCCGCTGTCAAGTTTTTAGCGTTGTTGCCGGGGAATTAAATCTTCTAGCAGCAGTATCAAATTCTTGTATTTTTAAACATATATAAAGTTGTTGTCAGAAACGATGACAATAAAGAGAAAAATATGAAAAAAAGAATCACACACAACACATAATATATGTAGTTCGGCAAATTGCATACGTCCACAGAAGTTTCAAAGAATTTTTTTGCTTGAAGAATTGCACAGTCGATTGCTTCGCTTATAAGAACTCGCCTTGACTCCTTCCCTCTCCTTCCTCTAATTTTCGTCGCCCGCCACTCCTTCGCCGTCACAACTCTTTTCACATTGGTTCGGTCACGAGATGTGAATCTAGGAGTTGCAAAAGCAGATGAAGGGTGTGATCCAGGAGATGCAAAGAAATAAGGGGGTGGGATCCCAAACAGGGAAAGGCATAAAAGATGATTACAGAAAAAAATCAAAGAAATAAATATTAGAATGTCAAATTCAAATAACTGCTAAAAAGAAAAAACTGTCAAAATAGAAAGGAAGTGGATCGGGCTCCACAACACTCAACAAATCTCTCACTTGGAGACGGGTACACTGGTTGCATCTTCTTCTTCCTCAAACATGATATTTTCCACCTCTGCAAATCAAGGCCTATGTCTTCATGTTAGAAGACCAACTGAAGTTGAGCACAACTTCAATTTCTCAAATGTAACACCCTTAGTCAATATATCAACAGGATTCTTGCTTCCACAATTTTTTTCAAGTAGGAACTGTCTGTCATCTAACAATGATCGAATGAAGTGATACCTGATTTGAATGTGCTTAGTCCTGGATTGAAATGTTGAAATCTTTGCAAGGAATAT